ATTATGACACCAAGGATATTTCTAGGATCGCCTCTCCCTCGATCAACAAGTGGAACTGGCACACAAACGGTGTCTCCTTGTTTGCCAGCTGATGTTACAGTAAAAACACGTAGATCAATCTAGTTAATACGCGTAATCACTGAATATTTCAGTGAAAACGCGTAATCCCTGTGCAGTGGCGGGGCTATTACGTGAATTCACTGAATACTCATTAGTAAAAACACGTAAAATGATAGGTCTAATTTTACGGATTTCGTGTAATCACTGGAAATTTCAGTGATTACGTGAAACCCCCGAGTGAAACGAGAATTACGTGTATTCACTAAAATATTAAGTGATTACGCGTATTCACTAGGTACGCATTCTTACTGTAACATATATACATACATACATTCATAAATACGTAGATGCACGTGTGGGTGTGGGGTGCGTGTTTGTGTGTGTGTGTGTGTGTGTGTGTGTGTGTGTGTGTGTGTGTGTGTGTGTGTGTGTGTGTGTGTCCGTGTGTGTGAATGCGTGAATGTGGATAAAAAATGATTACCCCTCTGTCTAAAACTTTTGTTCAATATGAGAAGTTCGCTAGTTTTGTTTTGATGCACAGAAGCGCACACACCCACTCAACTATAGCTGGACTGATTATGTTTTGCCCTTTATTTGGGTACCCATAGGCTAGTGCACACGCTTCGCAACTAAGTTTTTTTAGGGAGAACAAAGCGACGTTCACAAGAGTGCACGGCTAGTTTTCATGTCTTTGACTTCAGCTAGATAATGAAGGAAGACTGTGTGGGAGAGGACAGGAGAGGAAAAACGCAAAAAGAACACTAGAACAAAAAGCTGGAATACTACGTAATAAATTGAAACAAAAGGAAAAGGTTTGAATAATACATGATGGACTCAGATTAAACAAAAGAAAAGGACATTGTTCAAATGACATTTAAAGAATACGCCATCACTTTAATAAATTATATGTTATTTTTATTTTTAGTTTGTGCGTGTGTTTGTGTGTGGGTTTAGGATTTGTTGTTGTTGTTGTTTGGGTTTTTTCTTTGAGGGGGGGGGGGGCGTACAGTGATTCAAAAGTTACATGTGTTTCCGCTTCTCTTTAACCCCTACACTGCAGACCCGAGATTAAAGTAGGTCTATTTTAATCTTATTTTTCTTGGTTGAATGTGTTTTCACGCCCCCAAAGACACAATTTAGAAAATTTAGCTCAGAAGTTTCCGACTCTACCTGTCAGGGCCAACCCAGTCTGAAAGGGATACATCACAGCAGAAAGACTGAGATACTCAATAAAAATGGCATCACTCAGGAATTGAACTCGGGGTCTGGTGAGCGCCATATTGAAGCGCCTAACTGCTAAACTACAGCCACTGGTGGTCAAGGGATGAAAATCTATTCCTGAGTTTCACGAATCTTTACGACTTTATTAGACATACACGTTGGTTGTCTTTGCAACTAGTTGGAGAGCACAATTTGTGTGTCCTATGTCTTCGTTGTCCCAATGTTTGAGTGAAGAGATAATGAGATAGGAGTTAGGGGTTACTTTTTTTTTCTTGGGGTTTTTTTTTTTTTTTTGGTAAGTGCTTTACGGCGCTCACAACTGCATAACGTCATATGAGCGCGCGGGACACATTAGCCATTTTCAGTTGTTAGGAAAAATTGAATTTTGCCCGGATGGCGGCCAAAGCCTACTCTTATCGATTTTCGACCACCAAGGGATCTTCATCGTGCGCAACTTGCACGCGGGACCTCTTAGATTTTTCGCCCTTGTCCGAGAAGGCTATGTGTAGGTCTTACCTACCATAAGATAAGGGGTGTGGCTGAAAGACAGCAATGGAAAGTAGCAGTAGAAAGGTTGCTAAAAGAATCAGAAGCTCAGAGGAGGGGGCAAAGGAGGTGAGAGGGTTGAGGCAGAAAGTAGAGGCGAAAGCAGACGACAGAACATTGCTAGCGAGCAGGAAAGGAGATAATTTTAAAGAATAAAAATTTCCTTCTGATTCGAACCCGGTACCTATTGAATAAGAGGCGAACACCTTAACCTCTAGACCACGAGAGCCCTTGTTAAGGGTGGATTAGGGGTGTGGGAGCAAGAGTGTGGATTAGAGGTGACGAGGGGTTGGGAATGGGGGGGGGGGGTTGTTGCTTGCGATTGAAAATAAGTGGAGTAATAAAGATTTTCAACATTATCTGAAGACCAGTCTGCATGACCATTCTACTAAGATCACTTACGGAAAAAAAATAATGAAAAAAGTGTTGAAACATTGTGGAATCAATTCAACACAGCAATGCGCTTCCACTTCTAGGACTTTTTAAATCTCAGTTCATCCAAAGATTCCCTGAGTTTAGGGTTGGCCAATGAAGAAGGGGTTAATAAAAAGACTGTCTCTCCAGTTATGATTCTTTCCACGACTTCTTTGTAACATCTCGTGACTGAACCAGGTCTGAAAATTACAACATATAAATGGCTAATACGGGCTTCTGTTAGGGCAAGATCTTGAGCTGAGAGCTGCAAGATTCCATCTGTCACAATAATGGTAAAAAAAATCATGTTTCAGACAAGAAGTCTTTATTAAATTCTTGTATGATATTTATTGATAATCAGGTGGGCAACCCAAGGGTGGGTGGAGTGTGTGCATGTGTGTTAGTGTGTGTGTGTTTGTGAGCGAGTGAGTGTGCGTGTGTGTGTTTGTGAGTGAGTGCGTGTATATGTGTGTGAGTGTGTGTGTGTGTATGTGTGTATGTGTGTGTGTGTCTGTGTGTGTGTGTGTGTGTATGTGTGTGTGTGTGTGTATGTGTATGTGTGTTTGTATCTGTATGTGTGTTTGTATGTGTATTTTTGTTTATATGTGTACGTGTGTTTGTATCTGTATGTGTGTATGTATGTTTCTCTAGCTCTGTGTGTGGTATGTGTTTGTCTATTCGTGTGGGTATGTTATAAATATATTTATCTATCTGTCTATCTGTCTATTTATCTATCTATCTGTCTATCTGTGTATCTATCTGTCTATCTATCTGTCTATTTATCTATCTATCTATCGATCGATTTATCTATCTATCTATCTATCTATCTATCAATCTATCTATCAATCAATCTATCCATCTATCTATCTATCTATCTATCTATCTATTTATCTAT